TCACCCGGTACTGCGCAGTTTTGATCCAAGGAAGGTCTCAGCATTTTTGCGAGAGTACGCACGCTACAAGAACGAGGTAGAAGAGAAGCGCAAGGAAGTGCCTTCAATGATGGCAGCCTCGTTCAAGGAATGCATGGAACGCTCCAGATTGGAGAACATGCACTTCCTAGGAAAATCCGATGATATCGCTCCGAATACTGGTGTCGATGAACTGACATTTGAAAATATAGAGCAATTCATAAAAAGCATTGTCACGCATGACGATGAAGCTGAAGTAGACCCAGCAGTGATAGAGGAGGCCTTGAAGGGAATCAAGGTGCTGATGACGATCGCTGATCATCAGGCCCGAATGATGGAGTTCGTGAATGATTTTTTCGAGAGACTTGAGAGTGTTGGATACGGAGATTTCAGAGAAAGAAACCCGGAGAAGACAGTCAAGCTCATTCAATCAAGTTCGTTCCCATCTAAACTGAAGTCAGCCATGGCTCAGCATCTAGAATACCAAGAAGGGCTGAGGCGAAATGTTCGCACTTACCTAAAGATTCTACTGAAAGAAGCCATCGTCCAGAATAAGGCTAGAGAAAATTACCAAGCGACCGGAAGGGATAAGCGTCTAGCCGATAAAGCAAGAAAGGGTAAATATCCTTCAGTCGTCGTGAAGCACAAAGGCGGAAGCGCGGATTCGAAAGGACTTACCGGTACAAAGCAAGAACCGGAATGCCTCAACCCAGACTGTACCGGCAAACATATAGTTAAGAACTGCCCGAACACATCAAAAGATCTAGCAAGGAAGCTGCTAAAAGATTTTTTTGACGGACAACAGAAGGCAGAAAGGAAAGTTGGCGGCGAAGAAACGAAGGACGATAGCACCCACATTTTGGGAACATTCGCTGGTAAAGTACTATCTGTTATGTGCACAGACGTCGGATCGGATATAAATCTGATGTCAGGAGAAACCCTGAGCGAGCTAATTCGAGCAAAGGCAGATATGGCAGTCCCGAAATTGGAGCGTCCGAGGAAGTATAAAATGGCTGCTTTAAAGGCTCAGGATGTCACGGAGGTCTACATTGAATGTGATCACAAAGTTGTGGTCAACACAGAGATGCAAATAAGGCACGCCAAGTGCCTCATGGTGCAGAACATGTCGTGGCTAGTTACTCCTCAAGATATAATTGAACCCCTTATTGGTCGTCCAACTCTGGAAGCACTTGGCTTGGACGTGAAAGACGTTCTAGAGGCTGCAGTGGATGGCTTCAATGGAGTTGTCGACGCAAGAACGCTGTTGGCAGGAGAAGATTATGACAACGGAACTGTTGCCCGACTACTGGCTTCAGGCATATACAAGTCTGAACGAAATTCTTCTGGCATGTATCACTCTGACTGGGGATTTTCGGACGATGCGGAAGCAGAATACCGAGACGACTGGCTAGACCTCGGTATTGATACGGACATTGAAATGCGGGATGCCATTCAGAACGCCATGGACAAGGCTAAGCAGAATGGGTTGTCAGAGGCTGGCGGAGAGCAGCTCAAATCATTACTGGCCAGATATCGGGACACACTCCAGATTCGCCTGGGGCCTGATCAACCGGCCAAGGTAGAGCCCATGAAGCTTACTCTAAAAGACGGAGCAGTACCATTCATGGCCAAATCAAGACGCTTCACGGCAGAGCAGAGATGTTTTATCAACAAGTATGTTGGCAAGCTGGAAGAATTCTGGTTCGTAAAAATGAACACAAATGCCATGTGGGCAGCGGCACCAGTTTTAGTACCAAAACCTGCCCCAGCAAGGTATCGCATCACATTTGACCTGCGTCAGGTCAACGAAAACACTGTACCCATCACATGGCCTATGCCACATGTTGAATCGGAGCTGGCCAATGTGGCTGGTAGTGAGTGCTACGCTAGCATTGATTTTTGCAGCGGATATTGGCAGATGCCAGTAAGTAGGGAAACACAGCACATTCAGAGTTGTAACGCCGAAGGGCGTCTATCAGTCAACGAGGTCTCTCCAGGGAGTACACAACGCGGTGGCAAACTTCCAGTCTAGGGTAGAACCGTGCTTCGCGGAGATCAGAGGTTCAATACTGTGCTGGCTGGATGATTTTCTAATTCATGCAATGACAGAGAAGGAGCTGATGTATGTTTTGGAGGCGTTTTTGCGGATCTGCAGAGCACGGAGACTCAAGGTATCCGTTGTTAAGAGCGTTTTCTTTACGAATTCTATCCGCTGGTGCGGGCGGTTGATCGATAAGGATGGAGTCAGATGCGACCCAGCCAGGCTAAGTGGTCTACTGCAGTCCGACACACCGGTTTATGCGTCCGAATTGTCGCAATTTATCCATTGCCTACAGTAGATGTCCAACTACATCCCAGACTTTGCGGCGCGGGTATTGCCGCTGCGGAAATTGTTGGAGAAGGCATACCAGAATTCAGGAAAGAGAACGACGAAGTCGATCCAAAAGCTCCTACTGTCGGAGTTTTCCTGGGGACGACAGCACGAGGACGCCTACAAGGATCTCAAGGAACAGCTGGGAAACGCAGTGAAGCTGGCACATCGTGACCAGGATAAATCTCTCTGCCTATACACTGACGCCTCGGATAGGTATTGGTCTGCTATTATTACACAGTGCCATCAAGATGGTTTAAAAAGAGAAACGAAGGATCAGCAACATCAACCGCTTGCATTCATGGGGGCTGCCTTCTCGGATAGACGGAGAAATTGGAGTACGTTCGAGAAGGAGGCATTTTCAATTTATCAGGCCTTCGACAAAATGGACTACTTATTTGCTGCAGAACAGGATACGCGCATATTTACGGACCACCGTAACCTTTTGTTCATTTTCCACCCAACTGCAGTGGTCCCTATTTTGGGACGTCACGTCATCAACAAGGTACAAAGGTGGGCTCTTTTCTTATCCCGATTCATGTACTCGATACACCACATTTCGGGTGAGCACAACATCATGGCCGACATGATGACCCGGTGGTTCAAGGGCTACCGTGGAAAACGGGGAGGCGTGAGACGCATAACGGAGGCGCTGGCAAGAATTGATCTTTTGCCTTCACGGCATGACGCTGAGTTCGAGTGGCCTTCGGAAGAAATGACCAAAAAGTCACAGACTCGACACAGGGGGACCCGTCCGGCCAAAGCAGAGATGGCGGGCGAAATGTACACGCTTGACGGAAAGGTCTGGGTTCCAGGAGCAGATCCCAATTTGAAACTGAAGATATTGGTTGCCGCCCATTGCGGAACTGCGGGACATCGCGGCGCGGACTCAACTGAAAGCAGCATCAAAGAGAATTATATTTGGAGACACATTTCCAAAGATTGCCGAGAATTCGTCAACTCATGTCTGCACTGCTTGGTGTCGAAATCAGGGCTCAAGGTACCTCGCCCACTATCAATGACGACACATACAACAACCCTCAATGAAATAGTACACTTTGATTACCTATATATGGGACCGGGTGTGGATGAGAAGAAGTATGCCCTGGTCATGCAAGACGATTTGTCATCATATCGGTGGCTGACAGCTTGTAATCACTCATACTCCGATACTGTTACTTCCTTAATGGCTCGTTGGATTAGAGTATTCACGGTGATGAACGTCTGGGTATCCGATCAAGGATCACATTTCAAGAACTGCGTCATGAAGGAACTAGCCAGACAGCACCGAATCAGACACAACTTTACAGTTGCATACTCGCCATCGGTTAATGGTACAGTAGAGAACGCTACGAGACACATTCGAAGCGCAACTACAGCCCTGCTATCTGAGTTCAAGCTCGGGCCTCAGGACTGGCCGGTGGTATTGGATATTGTAATGACAGCTCTCAACGAGTCCCCACTTCCAAGATTGGGTACTCGTCGTAATGGGACATTCCGCACGCCGCTCGAGGTAATGACAGGGCTCCGTCCTAACAGAACCCAATTCAAGATCGCTGTGTCAGGAAAGCCAAGCATGGATCACACGATATCAGAGGTTCGTGCCCGCCAGCTCATCAACGTAGAAGACTTACAACAATCTCTCGACAACATGCACAAAGATGTTTCGAACCGCGTGGCTGCCAATCGCAAGAAACAGATTGTTCAGCCTAACAAAAGGACGAACATTGTGGCGCCAAGCATTGATCTGGGCGACTACGTTCTGGTACGTCGAGCACAAAACAAGGATCATAAGCTTTCATTTCGTTGGTTGGGACCTCGCAGGATTACCAGGGTAATAGGGGATCTAGTTTATGAGATCACAGGTCTAGCTGACGACAAGGTGGATTGTGTGCATGCGGCACGGATGATCCTGTATAGAGCTTCACTGGATGATAAATGCATATCAGATAAACTCAAGAAACAAGCAAAGCATTTGGGGACCCGATACAATCTGGTGGACAAGTTGATGAACATTTCCAAGAAAGGTCCGGACATATTCATCCAAGTACAGTGGTCGGGCCTTCCAGACGAGTGCGACTGGACGTGGCAGCGAATTGAAGAGCTACATGAAGACGTACCAGATCGAGTTGAAGAGTTTCTACGTTTATCAAAGAAAAAGATTGCTACAGAGGCTCTAATCTTACTAAAGATTTGACAAGATACCAAATGCGACCACCACCGAGTTCTGTCGCATGGGGGCTGTGTGGACGTTTACTCAGCTTATAAGGGTCCATGGGATCATGGTGCAGGAGTGAGTGACAGTTGGTCGCTACAGCGAGCGCGGCGGGTCAGGTGTCAACTCTCCAAGATTAAAATGCATTTCTAGTTAGCACTCTCCTCGTACAAGAGAGTGCATTTCGTTTAGTGTACGTCGGGAAGGGCATTTAAGGACCCTACGGCAAGCCCAAAGTAAAGGGTTACCACTCACACGAAGACATCCGCTCCCCCAAGGTTTACAGAGACGAAGATGGTTCGATTAAAAGGCGAGTTCGAAGCGGAGAGCCAGGGCCCACGGGAGCTTGGAGCGAGCGGGCGCAAAAGGGGTGGGGGTTTGAGGGCATGTTTTCAGATGTGCATTGGAAGAGTAACCTCCGAAGTGACTGGAGAAAACCCGAGCGTGACGAGAGCTACCTGCGCAACTTTCTGTGAGAGGAAAGGGTATGTTGTTGTGGGATATGACGACGGGACGGTAAGACTGTGGAGTGCATCGGAGAGGAAAGTATTGAGAAATTTCCGCGGTCACAGATCGGGAGTGCATTGCGTTGCGATCAGTGGGGACGGAAGACGTGTGGTGTCTGGATCGGAGGACAAGAGCGTGCGGGTGTGGGACGTGGGGACGGGAGCACAAGTCGGGGAGGCGTTAGTTGGACACACGGGTTCGGTGCTTAGCGTTGCGATAAGTGGGGATGGAAGACGTGTGGTATGGGGACAACTGTACCCTGAAAGGTAGGGGTGCGGAGGTACGGACAGCGTCCGGGTAGTGGTCGAACTCGGGTGGTCGGCCACTGGTGTTGAGAGGAGAGTTTACTTCTGAGTTCGGCCCTATATCTCTGTCTACTCCTACAAGTTAGCTACTTATAGTCTGAAGGCTTTGGTTGCTCGAAGCTGATTTCGCTGCTGCCAGTGTTTCGCTTCGTTTTCTGTCGGTTTGTGTCTCGGCTTGTGTCGGTGAATTTATCTTTTTCTCCTGTCAGTGACTTGCGTTTCGCCTTCTGTCGTGCGCAAGTCACTGGTGTCGATTTGTGGCAGTGTAACTGTCTACAGGTATCTGGTTCGGATGACAAGAGCGTGCGGGTGTGGGACGTGGAGACGGGAGCACAAGTTGGGGAGGCGTTAGTTGGACACACGGGTTATGTGTACAGCGTTGCGATGAGTGGGGACGGAAGACGTGTGGTATCTGGATCGGATGACAAGAGCGTGCGGCTGTGGGATGTGGAGACGGGAGCACAAGTCGGGGACGCGTTACTTGGACACACGAGTTCGGTGTACAGCGTTGCAATGAGTAAGGACGGAAGACGTGTAGTATCTGGATCGGATGACAAGAGCGTGCGGGTGTGGGACGTGGAGAGAGGGATCACACTTCATACCGGGAGGGAAGAGGATTGGGAAGAAATCAGGAGTCGGTTCCTGAAGACGGCAGACTTGAGTACTGCTTCTCGCGCAAGACGAACATCACAAATATTTGCAAGGGACGAAAGAATTGTGCAAAGGCGAGAGGATGGGTCTGAGGCTGTCTTGGCCCAGTTGGACAATGGTGGAGACATGCAGATAGACCACGATCACGAGGTCGCAGTTGCAGGGACGGGCCATCTGGTTGCTATCATGAAGCTAGTGGTGTAAGTAAGTATCGAAGTGTGATGGCCGCTTGCCGCCCGAGACATTAGTAATGCGTTTGCAACTGTTCGCGGTAGTTCTGTAGTGGGGAGGGTTTTTTGTTTTGTTATGAATGCCTGAGAAGCTTGCTTGATGGAAGTATGGAAGTTGCAGTCCATGTATGTGTATGTATGAACTACCGACCTGCTTGACTTAATCCCTCGGTAAACAAGTCTAAGGATGCGAGCGGACCTGACGCGAAATAAGTGTTGCATCGCGAAGGCTTGTCCTCCTCGAAGACAGTGGACTAAGAAACGATAAGAAACGTTCACAGCGGCATCAAGCATTCGGACAGAAGCGAAGTAGAGGAAGTTGTTATTAGTGCATCAACGGTGTGTTCAGAAGCGTTGCAGACCGGCTCAAGGCGGGGCGCGAATCTCAATGTTGAGAGGCGATGGGCACACATGCATAGGTTCACACGTGCACAGGTCCACACGTGTGAGAAGAACAGTGGACAAAACGAGGCCAACTTTTTTCTTCAATTTTACGATAAATTTGAGCTTCCACCTTTACTCCACTACGCACAGACATTGTTCCCCTGCCGTTCCCCTGCCGTTCCCCTGCCGTTCCCCTCCTCCGAACCCCTCGTCCTTGGTGCGTCCTTGGTGCGTCCTTGGTGCCCCTCGTCCTTCGTGACAAGCAGCGCCCTGCCAAGTCTCTGTCATCGGAAAACGTCCCTCCCTCTCCCTTTACGGAACGTCGGCGTCGTAATTCATTCCAATTAACACTGTCTCCGCAAGGGCATCGGTGAATATGTGAGAGACAAGCACTGGGCAAATGGGAAAGTGTCCTGGGCGGCACAGGTGAAACAAGCGGCCCCCAGTGACAGACCGACCACGATAGGCTGTCCGATCACAGCCCGCAGCGAGACGGATAAGCAGGAGCGAGACCAGAGACGACGAAGAGGCGAGAAAGAGGGCGCTGCTCTATGAGTTTGTCGATTCAACAGTGGCAGCTGCAACTCTGCGGGAACACGTGTTACACGTATCCGCGGAAAACTATCCTCGCTGTATCCTCGCTGGTACTGTAATGCACAAGGGTGCAAGTGATACTCCTTCGGCGTCCTCGTTCCCGCTACTCCCTCTTCCACATCTCCTCCCCGGTCTCTTCCCCGCACCGCCCCGCCACCCCCACCAGCACCTGCACGCTCTCCGCGAGCGCCCTCGTCCGCCGCACCAGTCGCTCCTTCTCGCGCTCCACCCCGCGCATCCATCCCGTTTTCCGCGGCGACAGCAGCACGTCCAGCTCGTCAAGTGCGCCCCCGCCCTCTATCCCGCTGCTGCTGTTTCCGCCGCCCATCCTCGCGCTCTGCC